CTTATTTTTTTAATGAAATTTTCCGGAAACTTTCCACGACTTCCAGCCCTATGGAGGGACCGCACCTGGAAGCCGTACACGTCGGGCCCCATGCTGCTGGAGAGGATGGCGGCGCGGAAGAGCCCCGCCGAGCTGGGCGAGAGGACGTGCATGTGCACGGAGTAGGCGCCCGCCGACTCGCCGTAGATGGTGACCTTGTCGGGGTCGCCGCCGAACACCTTGATGTTGTCGCGCACCCAGCGCAGCGCCAGGCGCTGGTCCTTGAGGCCGGCGTTCCCCGGCGCGTCCGCAGAGTTGGTGGCCAGGAAGCCCAGCGGGCCGAGGCGGTAGTTGACGGTGACCAGGACGACGCCTTTGCTCATGAGCAGGTCGGCGCCGTACATCATGGCGTCGGCGTTGCCCACGGAGAATGCGCCGCCGTGGAAGAACACCAACACCGGGTTCAGTTTGATCTCGTTCAGTGCAGACTCCTCCTGCAATCACAGACGTAATAACTTTCCATCACGAGCAGCAAGGGGGTTGCCGTCACAGAATTTGCTGTCTACTCGAACTGACCATTGCGAGCGTCGCTGCGAGGTTCGGCGAGTAAACGTTGAGGAACAGACAGTCTTCCTTCATCCCGGTCATGTGCTTGGCGGCGAAGGCGGGCATGTTAGGTAGCCCGGCCATCTTCTTCATCATGCCCATCATCTTTTTCGTCGCACCGGCAAATCTTTTCTGTCGTAAAAGGATCGACAGTTGTTACAGTTCTTCAAACAGTGCCATTATGTAAGTTTTCCGATCTGAAACACGCCTCTGTTCACAGGCGTACGTACCATGGGCTTCATCGGCTGGGGGCAAATGTTGCCCTCGGTCCGGGCCTCCAGCACCCCCTCCCACTTGTCAGCTGGTTCTGGGGCCTGTCAACATCAAATAATGATCCCTCAGTTCATAATTTTCATCATTTCTGGGAAATGTCGACGTATGGCCGACATGCTGACCCAGCACCATCCCTTTATCGCAATCTTACCTTAAAGCGCAGCTCTCCTACCGGCGGCTTGGCGTAAGGTATTCCATAGAACGCCATAAAATTATTTCCGTCAGCCGTTCTCTGGTAGACGCCGGTGATCTGACCCTGGGAAATAGTCAAAGCCGGGGCTAGTAGAGAGAAGAAAAAAAATGACAAACTTATGGTGGCATATTTTTGTTTTTGTTTTAACTTGATGGCACCTCGTCTATTCTTACTCACCTTTGCCTGAGGAGTCCTGCTCGGGGATGGGCACCCCTAGGGTACTCGGAGGAGTCCCGCAGAGCAGGAGCCCTGCATGAGAGATGGCATGTCTGGAGTTGCAATCGCCAGTCGTAACTACGCCAGATTCCTGTCTCTTTTTGTATAAGTGCAGATAACTGCAGTTTAATAGTAGAGATAGAACCTAATTCTGATTTTAGCGCCCATGCCCATGAGGATGTGGCGTGTTGTACCTACCATGCTGTCGCGTGAGGGAGGTAGGGAGGGGGGTGGGGCATGCCGGTATCGCGCGCTTACAACCTCGCAATCACTTGCAATCAGCTGAACCTGTCTGTGGATGGTGGATGCCAGTACCGGACCGGGTACCACGACCACGCGCTTGCAACCTCGCAATCACTTGCAATCAGCTTTACCTGGCTAAGACGGCGGCACCACGCGTTTGCAGCCTCGCATTCACTTGCAATCAGCTGAACTTGGCTGTGGACGCTGTGGATGCCGGGTATCATACCTATCGCGTATTCAGCTAATCTGTTTTTTGCGTGCATCCACAACATTCTACCAATCCTGTAGCAAGTAGTGATATCACCCTCATGCTGTGCGGGCGACCTTTAAATTGTACGGGCACCACTTGGTGCACAAATATGAATACAACAAACAAATACAAGACGGTGTTCGACCCGTCGGTCTAACTCCATATGGTACAGTAGAGCCGCCTCTCTGGTCGTCGCTACCCAAAGTTAAGCGAGGCACACAAAATGTATTGACAGACTTTCGGATGGACAACTCCTCGAGTCCCACGTGGTGGCCAGGCTTTGCTGGAAAGCGGTATGCCCCTCGATTGCTCTGGGACTCAATGTGTTCACTGTTTATTTCATACAAGGGGGCCACCACTCGCGTAATCTTGTGTACAGATGAGGGTGTAATCCCTACGTAATCCTTATCTATTCCGTGTAATCCTTGACCAAATTTTAAAACATTATCACCAAATTTTACCTTATTGTCCAAATTTGATGGTTTTAGAGCCTGTAATTCAACAAAATTCACATGTAATCCCTGTAATCACGTAATCCTGTGTACGTCCTCAATCGATGTGGTGGCCCCCTCGACTTCATATTATCTACGTAATTTTACAAAGCGACCCAACAAGATATAAAACAAAAAAAATTGTTTTCACTTTACGTACCCACCCGCAGAAAAATAAAAAGCTGTTTCGTTTTGACAACCATCGTATGGTTAACTCAGGGGCAACCATGAAGTTATGTTGAGGCAACTTTAAAATGGATGTAAAAACTATGTGGTTCTAATGACTGCACGATTGTTAATTTTGTAACTATATTATGGTTGTCCCTGAGGTAACCATACGTTGATTGCTAGAGCTCTGCCCTTCTCTGGGCTCTCTAAGCGCAAAAATTTAGGTACTTGAAATCAAGTGCGTTTCCTTGAAAAAAGTGCATGTACTCGAATGAAATGACACTTTGATTCAAGAGAATGCTCTTGATTTCAAGTACCCTGCCGTTTTGGGTGCATATTGCGTAATGTCGTAATACAGCGTCTATTTTTCCGACGCAAATAGATTTTACTCACACACACCTAGTGTCAGAGCGAGACCCGATGCGAGGCTCATGGCTGGGCGGACGAGCAACGACTGGACAGGTCGACGGGTCCTCGCCGCGGCCGAATCCGGCACGAGCCCGGACACAACGTGGGCAAGGCCGGCGCAGCAGTTACTGCTAATAATATTGTCCCGTTTCATGTGAATGTGTACGTCCACCAAAAAAATTACAATGCGCGCGCCTAGTCGAATGAGCGAGAGAGGGAGAGGGACAGATAGACAGAAAAAGGAGAGAGACAGAGAGAGAGAGAGAGAGAGAGAGAGAGAGAGAGAGAGAGAGAGAGAGAGAGGTGGTTGCACTCTGCCCCATGACAACGGCAGATTCGGTAAAGTCACGGGCATTCGAGCATTTACAGTTTTACACGTTTTGTGGGAGGATACACCGTACGTACTGTGTGAGCGAACTCATCCGACCAGCATCATGTGAAGGTGAAAAGGTCTGAATTATTTTTGTGCATGTGCTGCTGGAAGTGATCGCCACTGATAACAGCCAGTGAGTGTCACAGCGTGATTTCGCTGTTGCTGTGTTTGTTTGTTGTGTGTTTTTTTTTTCGCGACTTTTGGGTTGTCGGTGCTGGCTGGCATACGGGCGGAGGGGAGAGGGGGGGAAAGGGGGGCACAGAGACACTCTCGAAAGATACTCAGACTTTATTGGGATTCCCCTGGTCGTGCTGTCGCACCGCGAGGCTGTCGGCCGCCGCCTTCGCGGTTCCCACGCCGGCTCGCGTGAAACCTGGCGGGGCACAAAGTTTTGACGGTAATGAGGGGCGAGTCGCGGAGGTAAAGCAGCAGCCGGTCGTCGCCGGGAACATTACACTGTAAATCTGGGGTGTCCAGCAACTGTGCGCTCTAAGTTGCACGACCCAGGTTTCTGTGCAACTTACAGCGCACAGTTGCTGGACACCTCGAGTTTTGCCACCCTATCGCTGCAAACGGGCCCCCGGCAAGGTGTGTCCAGGCACAGGACACCCTACCGAGGCTGGGCCTGGACCCTTTGCAGTGGAAGGGTGGCAAAACTCGAGGTGTCCAGCAACTGTGCGCTGTAAGTTGCACAGAAACCTGGGTCGTGCAACTTAGAGCGCACAGTTACTGGACACCCCAGATTTACAGTGTACTCACGTTGCTTCCTCTCCCATTCCGGGTCGTTCCACGGCTGCACCTCGGCCGACGCGAGCAGGGTGTAGAGGACGCAGGCGACCATCAGGATGACGGCCTCCCCCCAGAAGACCGTCTTCCACTGCGACACGTTGTTCTGCAAGAGACGCGGCGGCAAACTCACAAAATGTTTCGTGCACTTTATTTATTTTGTCACAAAATGTGTTGGTTGGTT